ATATATATATATATATATATATATATATATATATAATTAGTAGAAAATCACTTAGCAAAATTTTTTTTCATTTATCATTGTGTTTCATCAATAAAGACTCATCAGAAATGAATGATCAAGTTAATAAAACTTCAACTTATACCAAAAGTTAAATTACAATCAACACAAAATGAACAGTGATGACTTTTTCAGTTTAGTTATCTTAGTTTCCGATCTTGTTTAAAAAGATTAAAATTCAAAATTTTTTCTAATAAGAAACATTCTCTTTTGAATTTTCATAAAAAGAAGTTTAAAAGAGTTTTTGTTTTAATAATATTTTGAAAGAAACTTTTCGATTGCAACGGTCCACGATATTGGACTTGAAATGAGCTGAGTTTTGCATTAAGTTCCTTCAAAAGAGACTTTCCGTTAAGAGTTCTTTTAACGCTAAATATAATCCCGCATGCATGTTTTTGTTTATAATAAATTTTTTTAAAGTTTTCCATAGTTGGTGCTTCCACATGTATTATTGCAATAGGAAAGATAACTGTAAATAAATTTAAAAAAATATTATCTTCAATTAGAAATATTGGAAAGTGATTTGTTGTGTCATCTATGAAGATATTCTTCCTTTTCAGGTTGAAGATCTTTTTTTTAAATATTTACTTTATTCTCAGTCTAAAAATTTTATGATTATAATTCTTGGTTAAATTGAAAATGTCCCTTTTTTTTAATTTTTAGTTTTCCTTTTTTAAATTGTTTAGCTTTGTTTCGCTGTAACTCCAGCTTACTACTTTGTTTTCTTTTACTCCATCAATTCTCAGATTATTCCGCCTGAATTTATCCTTTATCTCATTTAATTTGTTGTTTATTTTATTAAATGCATATTCGTTGCTTCGAATTACGCTCGTTGTTTTATAATTCTCTTGTGACTTAATTTTTAAAGCAGACTTTTTTCATCAATAAGATATTCGTGAATATATATTTATATTTTTATTCTGATTCATTTTCAACTACCACTAATAGGTTGGGAGTTACAAGAAAAAAAGAATAGAGTTATATAGCTAGGAAACGGTTGATAGAAGACTTGAAAAATTAAATTAAAGGTTGTATGAGTCAGGAAAACATGAAGATGGGAGATATATATATATATATATATATATATATATATATATATATATATATATATATATATATATATATATATATATATATATATATTTATATTTATATTTATATATATATATAATGATAATAATAAACCTGAGCACATGAAATATTTTATTGTAAATGCTTATTGAAGGAGAAATTCTAATAATTAAAAAATTCGTAAGAGGGAAAATCTTTTCATGAAACATTGCTTTTAAAAAAATCTAATTGCTGACAAATGTAATAATTCATTTATTTATCAAATTAAATATTAAATGGCAAAAATTGCAATTAAGATTTAATCATTAAAAAAAGATTCAAAAATTAAAAATCATTTTATATATATATATATATATATATATATATATATATATATATATATATATATATATATATATATATATATATATATATTTTTTTTTTTTTTTTTTTTTTTTTTTCAGCATCAATAAATCCACTTCTAAAGTTTATTATATTATTAAATATAGACATATTATTAAAGCCTAATCATTCTACTTTTTAAAAAATATCTTTGTTTATACGAAATTCTAAAAATTAAATCGACAAAGGTCGGTAGAACCTCTCTCACCAAAACCAAACTTCAAAAAACGTGCAACAAAATTTTAGTAGATTTATCGGTTCCGTAAAACGCGAACTCCGCATACCTAATGTATATATATATATATATATATATATATATATATATATATATATATATATATATATATATATATATATATATATATATATATCGTGTTTGAGCACTTATATAATTAAAAATAAATAGAAACTTCAATCTAAACAATTACTTTTTGTCTAAGTTCTGGGAGTCCTTTAATTTTAACCAATTTATTAAAATCATTTGATTTAATTACCCACGCTATGGAATCACGTTATGACGTTGTTGTAGTTTTGCTTAACTTCGCCAAAGCGTTTGATAAAGTTAGTCACTCGCTACTTCTTAAAAAGGTTCGCGCGTATGGTTTTGACAAATATATATACCAGTGGATAAATGCACTCCTATCGAAAACAACAAGTTATAGAAAATTCAGAATCCGACTAGTTGAATATCCTCAGTAGTGTACCTCAGGGTGCATGCATTGGACCATTACTCTTCCTCATTTTTATTAATGATATGCCTCGTCACTCAATCACCATTGCAAACTTTATGCTGACGACACCAAAAAATGAAAAACAATAAACATAGTGTTAGGTAGAAAAACTGACTGCAAACAGGTACTTCATGCAGCTCTAACCTCTATTAGATCACTACTATGAACAGCTGCAAATTCTAGCCCACTAAAAAATTAATGGCTTTCAAATGCACAATCATCACTGGTGTTAATTTACCAGACTTCTTAGTGGACCCTACTGTCTTGCACAAAAATCAACTATAATTGAAAAGAGACTCGCTGATAGAACAAGTTACCTGGTTTGAAACCATATCACACCACTATACATGTATAAAATATACAAATGGAAGAATTGACACTATCAACTTGACATTTAGCATCATGTGCAACAATATACACATATATACATAGATACATACACACAGTTTGTTAACCAGGATATAAGTTTTATGGACATTATAGATATTTATTTGTATACATATATACACACACATACATACATACATACATACATACATATATACATACATACATACATACATACATACATACATACATACATTCACATAGTGTGTTAACCAGGATATTTTATTGGCATTTTGATTTTATATATATATATATATATATATATATATATATATATATATATATATATATATATATATATATATATATATATATATATATATATAAACACTACCCTCCATAATTATTTAAATAGCACCAACATTAAAAAAAATGTTTAAATTTAATCTTTTTTTTTTTTGCGTTATTAGATATTTTAGGTAATAAAAAAGTATTTTGATTAAAACACCGATAAAAGTCATGAAGTTAACAAAATACATGTTTAAATTAGTTGAAGTAGGGTTTACCATTTATTTACATAAGCATACTATTTTGTAAATCACTTGATAATCATGCAATTATAAAGCCTAATGTTTATGTTAATTGTTGATAAATTATGCAATTATGAAGTCTGATGTTCATGTGAAGACTATATAATGTAAGCAACTTAAACATTTAGCTATACCTGTATATTTTATTTTATTTTATATATATGCTATAGTTTTGCTGTAGTGAATTTCAATAGTTAGTCTTGGACTAATAGTTTAATAATTTATATAAATAATTGTTGATATTTTTACATGATAATCAACCAGAAAACAAGAGTTGATTTAAAAAAAAACTTGCAATATTCGCATTGTGGCAAGAAAAATATTCTATGGGTCAAATAGCAAAAAAAAATTCAAGATTTTGAATTTAACAGTTTAGAATATTATAAAAAAGAAGAAAGAAACTGAAAGTGTGGTCAATCAAAATCAGATAAAAGAAAGTCGGTGGTAAAAAAAAATAGATTAGTAATTGCTGGGGAAGTTTTGAATTGCTTTTAAGGACCTACTGTAGCAATGGTGACAAGGTGATTGAAGCAGGCCTTAGTGACAAAATAGCTGCAAGGAAAACTTTCCTTTAGCTGGAAAATAAAAGACTAGAGTGGACAAAACTGAAAAAAAAATTAAATGACTACAAATGTATTCTTTGGAATGACATCTCAAAGATTTAAATTTTTAGCTTCAAGAGAATTGTTTATCCGAAGAATAACGAGATATCTGAATATATCTGAAGAAAAGTGTGAAACATGGTATGGGTAATGTTATGGTTTATAATGTAAATGACTATTGCTACTAATGGTGGTTTCATAAATAAGAGCAAATTATAAAGTAATTGAATTTGATTTTTTACTTTGAGTTATGTAAACTTAATCAATAAAAAAAATAACTTTTCAGATAATTTTTGTTTGCAGTTTCTCTTCCAATAGCAAAATATTGAAAGTATGACCATTCAAATAATTATAGACGACAGTATATAGATTTATTATTATTATTATTATTATTATTATATATGTATATGTATATATACATATATATATATATATATATATATATATATATATATATATATATATATATATATATATATATATATATGTAGTATATATATATATATATATATATATATATATATATATATATATATATATATATATATATATATATATATATATATATATATATATATATATAGTATATATATATATATATATATATATATATATATATATATATATATATATATATATATATATATATATATATATATATATATATATATATATATAGTTTGTTTTATGCCAGAGCTAATATTACCATGAAGAATTGATAAATATAACAACTATCAAACTTCACTGGTTTAAATTAAGTTAACTTTGTGGCATAGATCTTTGGCAAAGATCTATGTGTATCAAATATCACTGTGTTAAAAAGACTAAAAACTGCATATGTGTAAAAAAGTTTTCTTCTTATAAGTGCCAAGATAGTATTACTATAATGTTTTTTGAATTTGGTTAACCTATATTTAACACTCTTTAGCATGATTCAAAATAAATAAATAATAATAATAATAATAATAATAATAATACTAAAAATAGTATAAGTAAAATATATAAATGCAGCAGTTTAAATATAATAAGATACTATCAGTAAACTATTATATTAATAAGAATGGGTTACATAAAACTAAAAAAAACACTTATTATCCTAAGTTATGCATAAATAAAATATAAACAGTAATATAACATTTAAGTAAGTAAGCAAACCAAAAGAAAGTATATGAAGAATATAGCTTATTAACTATTCAAAAAAAAAAAGTATTTATATAAAAATTAGGAAGTTGCTAACAACAGTATTTAAACAGTATTTATTATATTTAAACACTTAAAAACAATATCAAGAATACCATTATGAAGCTTACCCAATTATAATGAAATGACTTTCAATCAGAAATGTTTTTTTACTAAGCTTCATAAATAATAGTTATACTTAATTTCTTTTTAAAATGTTATTTTTCTTCACACCATTCATTTTCTTTTCGAACTTGTTCTTCTTCTTCTGGTGTAAAATCATTTTTTATATTAAATGTCTTTCGAATTTCTTCGGGTGTCTTACCTTTAATCATGTTAGCAACAGTTTTGCAAGTCACATCCAACAATCCTTTAATATCCAGATAGTTTGCTGCAAGAATTAATTCGAACAATGTACCTTGATCAACTTTTAAAAACTCTTGATCCCAAGGGTCAATGTCATCAGTACGTTTTTCGCGATTTTCATCATCTTCTGGTGGTGGCGGGTCATCTTTGTGATGAGTAGCCCAGTTAATAACCTTTCTCAGGATAGCTGCATTAACATTTGGTAATGGGATAGGTTCATCATCATCGTCATCCATACCTAGATCTTCCAACATTGTCTTGATTGTCATTGATGCTTTAGCAATCTCAACATCAACTTCAAATACTTCACTGTCGCTACTTTGTAACCTTATTGTTGGCATTTTTTATTTATGCTTTAAAAGGTTAAAACTCAATTAAAAAAAGTCTCAACAAAATAAAAAATAACACTAAAGCTATAGGCGAAAACTTTAGTTATTTCAATTAAACGGCAAAGAAATTTATCGATTATAAATAGGCCGATCTAAATAATTTGTTGCCGCCAACACGCAGCAACACTGCAACGACAACATAAAACAAGCTAGATAAACAAAATTAATTTGTTTTAAGAATAGATTGTTATGGATGTAATCAATAAAACTTTGGTGTTTTATTGATTAGATATGCATTTTTTTAAATTATAGTAATGCATTGGGGAGTTTCAATATTAGAAAAGGTAATGACGTATTGGAAAAAAAAATTACTTTCTGTATAAAAAATAATAAATACAGGGCAAAAAGTATAGGGATGGGGGGGGGCGAAGTCAAATAATTTTCGATTTGGAGGATGCGGACAATTTAGTAAGGGTAAAAAATCGATTTTTAGATTAAATAATTTGTAAGCAAGCAATCACACAATTTTAAATTTGCACCACATAATTTTGTTAAAGTTGTAGACAGTATAACTATATTATTTCCGTTTTCAAACAACTTGCTGTGTTAAATATATAAATTTACAAAAATATAAAAATTGAAAACTTTTAAAGGTAGGGGGAGGGGGCAATTGTCCCCACTGCCCCCTCCCTACAGATTCGATCTTAGTACAACGAGGGTTGATGGGGATGCCTAACCCCTTTCCTTAATAATTTTTTTTTCCGAATATATTTATATATATATATATATATATATATATATATATATATATATATATATATATATATATATATATATATATATATATATATATATATATATATATATATATATATATATATATAATTAGTAGAAAATCACTTAGCAAAATTTTTTTTCATTTATCATTGTGTTTCATCAATAAAGACTCATCAGAAATGAATGATCAAGTTAATAAAACTTCAACTTATACCAAAAGTTAAATTACAATCAACACAAAATGAACAGTGATGACTTTTTCAGTTTAGTTATCTTAGTTTCCGATCTTGTTTAAAAAGATTAAAATTCAAAATTTTTTCTAATAAGAAACATTCTCTTTTGAATTTTCATAAAAAGAAGTTTAAAAGAGTTTTTGTTTTAATAATATTTTGAAAGAAACTTTTCGATTGCAACGGTCCACGATATTGGACTTGAAATGAGCTGAGTTTTGCATTAAGTTCCTTCAAAAGAGACTTTCCGTTAAGAGTTCTTTTAACGCTAAATATAATCCCGCATGCATGTTTTTGTTTATAATAAATTTTTTTAAAGTTTTCCATAGTTGGTGCTTCCACATGTATTATTGCAATAGGAAAGATAACTGTAAATAAATTTAAAAAAATATTATCTTCAATTAGAAATATTGGAAAGTGATTTGTTGTGTCATCTATGAAGATATTCTTCCTTTTCAGGTTGAAGATCTTTTTTTTAAATATTTACTTTATTCTCAGTCTAAAAATTTTATGATTATAATTCTTGGTTAAATTGAAAATGTCCCTTTTTTTTAATTTTTAGTTTTCCTTTTTTAAATTGTTTAGCTTTGTTTCGCTGTAACTCCAGCTTACTACTTTGTTTTCTTTTACTCCATCAATTCTCAGATTATTCCGCCTGAATTTATCCTTTATCTCATTTAATTTGTTGTTTATTTTATTAAATGCATATTCGTTGCTTCGAATTACGCTCGTTGTTTTATAATTCTCTTGTGACTTAATTTTTAAAGCAGACTTTTTTCATCAATAAGATATTCGTGAATATATATTTATATTTTTATTCTGATTCATTTTCAACTACCACTAATAGGTTGGGAGTTACAAGAAAAAAAGAATAGAGTTATATAGCTAGGAAACGGTTGATAGAAGACTTGAAAAATTAAATTAAAGGTTGTATGAGTCAGGAAAACATGAAGATGGGAGATATATATATATATATATATATATATATATATATATATATATATATATATATATATATATATATATATATATATATATATATATATATTTATATTTATATTTATATATATATATAATGATAATAATAAACCTGAGCACATGAAATATTTTATTGTAAATGCTTATTGAAGGAGAAATTCTAATAATTAAAAAATTCGTAAGAGGGAAAATCTTTTCATGAAACATTGCTTTTAAAAAAATCTAATTGCTGACAAATGTAATAATTCATTTATTTATCAAATTAAATATTAAATGGCAAAAATTGCAATTAAGATTTAATCATTAAAAAAAGATTCAAAAATTAAAAATCATTTTATATATATATATATATATATATATATATATATATATATATATATATATATATATATATATATATATATATATATATTTTTTTTTTTTTTTTTTTTTTTTTTTTCAGCATCAATAAATCCACTTCTAAAGTTTATTATATTATTAAATATAGACATATTATTAAAGCCTAATCATTCTACTTTTTAAAAAATATCTTTGTTTATACGAAATTCTAAAAATTAAATCGACAAAGGTCGGTAGAACCTCTCTCACCAAAACCAAACTTCAAAAAACGTGCAACAAAATTTTAGTAGATTTATCGGTTCCGTAAAACGCGAACTCCGCATACCTAATGTATATATATATATATATATATATATATATATATATATATATATATATATATATATATATATATATATATATATATATATCGTGTTTGAGCACTTATATAATTAAAAATAAATAGAAACTTCAATCTAAACAATTACTTTTTGTCTAAGTTCTGGGAGTCCTTTAATTTTAACCAATTTATTAAAATCATTTGATTTAATTACCCACGCTATGGAATCACGTTATGACGTTGTTGTAGTTTTGCTTAACTTCGCCAAAGCGTTTGATAAAGTTAGTCACTCGCTACTTCTTAAAAAGGTTCGCGCGTATGGTTTTGACAAATATATATACCAGTGGATAAATGCACTCCTATCGAAAACAACAAGTTATAGAAAATTCAGAATCCGACTAGTTGAATATCCTCAGTAGTGTACCTCAGGGTGCATGCATTGGACCATTACTCTTCCTCATTTTTATTAATGATATGCCTCGTCACTCAATCACCATTGCAAACTTTATGCTGACGACACCAAAAGTATTGCGATTATAAAAGAACCCTCTGATCTACAGCGATTACAAACCGACATCGATAGAGTAGTTGACTGAGTTGATACTTGGTCAATGAGCTTTAGTTTTGGAAAATGCAGTTATATGATTTTTAACAAGCATTGTCGTACACAACAAATAAACAACAAAACTTTTGTTGATGATAAATTTAATGATTTTTGCTTCCAACTAACAATGACTAGCAAAACCGGCTTTTCTCACATTCTTAAAGAGATCATCTCTAAACGTGATTTTGGTGTTGTTGTTCACAATCAATTTTCGATGCAAATAACGATGTATATAATGAATATAACGAATATAACGATGAAGTAGCAAAAGCTATTTCAAATTCATATACTGTTCTTGGAATTCTTAGACGCACTTTGAAACATTGGACTCTTGAAATGTTCCGCTTCTTTTACTGCTCTTATGTAAGGCCTCATTTGGAATATTGCTTGTCAGCATAGGGACCCTTTTCAATTGAAAATATAAAAGCTCTTGAAGCTGTTTAAAATCAAGCCACAAAACTTGTCTTGAATCTGCAAACCATGAATGCCAAGGAACGCTGCTCAGCTATTGGTATCCAATCACTTGAAAATTAAAGGCGCCGAAGTGATCTTATACAATACTTTAAGATTTACCACGGCATAAGCAAAGTTAAATAGATTGAATCACCATCTCCTGCTCCTGCACTTGAGCAACCTGGACCAGCCGGTGATCTTCGGGGTTTTCTCCATCGCATTCGTAGCTCGCAAAATTTTTTTATGAAACCATGTGGCAGTTGATTGGAATGCGCTACCACCAGATATCATTACCTTCAATAGAAATGTACCAGATATTGTCAACATTAACACTTTCAAAAAAAACTTGACAGATTTTTTGGCTCACAAAAAACTGTATGATTGGTACTTCGGTTTTCCTTTTGGGAATGTTATTAACTCAATGTGCCGATTTTATTTCTTTTTTGTTTTTGTTTGGTAATCCTCTGTACTGGATCTACCATAGCAGGGATTGGTTGCTTCCCCAGCTTCACGAATTTTTTCGTTGTAAATTAAATTAAAAAAAAAAAAAAGTTAAAAGTATACGCAAACATCTTCAACACTCCAGTTCAAATAACCTGCCATTTTTTATATTATAACAAATGATATATTTATTTATCTAAACAAAACCATTTGCAATATACAATAATATATTTATTTATAATATGCATAATAAAAACATATAGGAATAAGAAAACTGCTCGAAAAAAAAAAAAAAAAACGTTGCTTTTATAATCGTTGTTGATGTTAACAACGGAAATAAAAACAACTCAAATGTTTAAGGTACAAATTAAATACTGCCATGATAATCATTTATTATTGTTATTATACCATTCTTTATAAGTTCATTTTAGTGTACCTATATAACGACCGATGAGAAAAATAAAATGGGGTTTACAAAAGATTTGAAGAACCCTAAATTAAGGTTCTTCGAAGTTTCCGTAAAACGATTTGAAGAACTTTGTGGGTTTTTTGTATTGCTTTATAAGTAAGCCACCGGTTCTTCAGAGAACCATTAAAGAATATTAAGAACCCGTAGGTTCTTTAAAGAACCTTAAATTTTTTCCAAGAACCTTTAGGTTCTTCAAAGAACTGGCAAAGAACTGCGAAGAGCCTTTTGGATTTACAGTGTTGAGTCTTTTATACTTAAAGAAGCAGTTAAAGGCGAGATACTTGTAGGATCCAAGAAAGTTTTGAGTACAAAACGTCTTTTTGTCTTTCACTTTAGTTTTTAAGCAAGAAAAGGGTAATGTTTAAACTTATTTATTTTATTTATTTAATTTTATTTAATATATTTAGCTCATTTAAATGCCATTTAAAATCACAATAAAAATCAGAATAAAGAAAGTTCAAATTCCGCAAAACTACTTTTTATATACATCCCTTTTCTTTTATGTGTTTCACAACTAATAATTACGACACAACTTAAATCCTTTTTTGTTAAGCAACTTTATTTCATTTGTTAACTTATTGTATAATTTTATACCGTTGCAAAGGATTGTATTTTGTCCACTTATCTTTTTTGAATTTTTAAGTTATAGTTTGCTGCATTTCTTGTGCAATAATAATGTATTTCATCGTTTTTTATACAAAATTCTTGGAAGGTATCTATTTAATGTAGTTGAATTGTATTTTGTATAAAAGTCAATACTTTCACTTGAATATTTTCTTTTACAGATAGCCAGTCTAATCAAAACAACATGTCTTTACTATGTGTGAACTAGTCACATTTCAAGAATGCTCTCATAGTTTTGTTTTGTAGCTTCTGTAGTATTTTTACATCATTTATACTTGCATCTAAGAATAATGAAGCACAATATTCAAAATAAGGTGCAATAACTGTATTAAAACTTTATATTTTTGTCCACCTTGGCAGATATTTAGCGACTCTGGTAAAATACCCAATAATCTTTAATGCAATAAATCTTTAATGCTATAAATTTAATGTGTTCAGAAAAATTCAAATTATTGTCAAGTTCAATACCGTATTTGATTATATTAGCGAATTTTTTGCCACAGTGAATAAAGAACTTAAACTTTTATCCCACTGGTTCAAATCCAATAAATTAACATTAAATACTGACAAAACTAAATGAACTCTCTTTTATTTGCTTAAGAAAAAAAATTTTTTACCCTTGCCTCAAATCTTTATTGATGAAATTAAAATAAAAAGAGACTCCGTTATTAAATTCTTTGGTTTTTATCTCGATGAGAATATTAATTGGAATCAACATATTAATTATGTATGCACTAAAGTCTCTAAAAACATTGGAGTTTATACAAAGCTCGAACTTATCTCAATAAGAAAAACATAAGACAACTTTATTTCTTACTTTAATCACTGCTACATATATAACAGCAAAGTTAATATTCGCATATTAACTTTGCTGATCGTCTTTCCCATTGTAAACCTTATTTTATCGAAATAAAAATTTTAAATATATTTGAGCTCAACATTTTGAAAACTTTGTGCTTTGTTTATATGTAGAATAACAATCTATCCCCCCTCCTTCATCTTTAAAGATTTTAAACAGTTTAAAACCCAGCAACAAATACACTCATAAAAAAAAAAAATTAACGAACCTTTTTGTCAAACTAATTTTAATCAATTTTGTCTTGCCTATCACGCACCGCACCTATTGAATAAACTTGTTTTACCAAATGTTGATTTTGATCGACCAAATTCTTTTTGTCTTTTTAAAAACAAAATTAAAAATCTAATTTTTTCCCTCGATAACATTTTAGAGTACTACTAATTAATTTATATATTATTTAACTTTATTTTAGGTTTTTATTATTTTTCTCTAAAGTTTTATTGTTTACAACTATTTAAATTGTTTTTACATTTATATATGTTGCTTATATTGTTTAAAGGTTAGCTTATGTAAAAAATTCTTTATATCTATTCTACTTTATTGTAACGTATACTTTAGAAGGTATTCGTAAATTAATTTGTTTATTAATATTTTTAAGGTTCCGATGATAAGATCTTAGTGATCTTCCTTCGGAAACTAGTTTACACTGTTATCACGGTTTGTAGATTTATTTTTGTAAAGTAATTTTGATTGTTTATTTTATTGTAAAACAACTAACCTGGTAAACTATAAAAAACAAAACAAAAAAAATAGAAAAACTAAAATGATCAAGAAAACTATCGAGTCTAGATTATTCATCGGCTACTCTTTATTTTTAAACTTTATTATTTTACCATTAAAAAACTTTATGAAGTCATAATAGTTTTACATCATTTATAAAATATTATCTACTAAAATTCAAAAAACATAAATTACAAAAATTGAACTAGAAATATATAAAAAAAAGCATAAACACAAACGCAAATTTATAATGAATTTAAAAGAAATGTCTAGACGTAGTTTTGTTTGTCTGGAGTGAAACGTAACAACTTTAAGTGGAAACGTATAGTAACGTTTTAAGTGTAACGAAGCCATAATTAACGCAGGTTTGATATATATTTTTTGTCTTTTAACAAAAGTTTATTCAAAAGATGAAAGTTAAAATATTATTGAATTGATATGAATACTATTTTAAAATATTATTTACAATGTATTTTTTTATAAAGCGTCAATATTTACAATTTTTCTAACTAAAACTTCAATTTAAAAAATGTTTCTAAAAAAAATATCAACACGTTAATTTTTGTTTTCACAACCAAAAATGTTTTTAAAAAGTTTACTGAATGAGTTAAAAAACAAAAACATGTGTTTTATTATAGTAGTTACTCTGAAAAGTTGATAGGGTTGTTACTACCCTACAACCACCAAAGTAATAATTATTTGTTCTTTTAAAACGCCAACCCTATCTGTCATAAAACTATTTCTTCATTTTACTTTTTTTTTTTAGCTTCTGTCTAGTTTCTGAAAACTTTTTAATTTTTTAACTCTTTTTTTCCAGTTTAAAAATCGCGAACGTTTTAATACTGAAGATGGAACCCTAATTCGTTTTTTTACAGTTTCTTTGGGTTTAAAATATATCTTATTTCTTTGACAACCATCGTCTTGGCAAACAATTAAAGAAGGTAATTGTACTGTGCACATATTGTCTGAGCATGGGGTTTCTATATTTGTACTTTGTTGTGGTAAATAAGGTGGTACCCATGATGGACATGGTGCGGGTGGAGGCATATTTTTACATTGCATACCACATCCATTATTTAACATCTGGTTGCAGTAGGTGTTACCTTGATTTGAAAAACAGTCGCCGCTGTTAGTTTTACAATCCGTCATGTTCTTTTTGTTATTCTCTGACACCTTATTTACTTTATCGTCGCTACTTTTTTCAAATTTAATTACACCAACTTCGTTTACTGCTTCTGTTATATCTTTGTTTACAAATGACTGATGTTCATTACTTTTTCCTTCTTTATTACTTCCACTACTGTTACTGTTAGTGCTTCCACTACTGCTACTGCTTCCACTATTGTTACCACTGCCGCTATTGTTTCCACTACTGCTTCCGCTACTGCTATCACTATTGCTAGCGCTATTGCTTCCGCTACTGCTACCACTACTACTACCACTACTGCTACCGCTACTGCTACCACCACTGTTACCTCCACTGCCACCACCACCACTACTGCTACTAGTTTCACTACTGCTACCACTATTGTTTCCGCTACTGCCACCGCTGTTGCTATTGCTTTCGCTGTTACTACCACTACTGCTACTACTTTTACCATCGCCACTGCTTCCATTACTATTTCCTTCTTTTCCTTTGCTACCACCATTTTTACCATCGTTTTTATCACTACTGCTTTTTTCAGTATTACTGCCACTACTACCTTTATTGCTACCGCTACTACTACTGCTACCACTACTGCTACCTCCACTGCTACCACTACTACTACCTCCACTGCTACCACCACTGCTACCGTTATTTAGTTCACTATTGCTACCACTACTGTTTCCACTACTGCTACCGCTGTTGCTTTTGCTTTCGCTGTTACTACCATTACTGCTACTACTTTTACCAGCACCACTACTTTCGCTACTTTTTCCTTCTTTTCCTTCACTACCACCATTTTTACTTCCACTCTTATCGCTACTGCTTTTTTCAGTATTACTACCACTACCACCATTATTGCTACCTCTACCGCTACTGCTACTGCTACCGCTATTGCTACCGCTACCACTACCATCACTCTTACCACTATCGCTACCGTCACTGTTACCACCTTTGCTACCATTGCTGCTACCGCCATTGCCACCGCTATTAGTTTTACTATTGCTACCACTATTGCTTCCACTACTGCTGCCGCTATTGCTTTTGCTTTCACTGCTACTACCATTATTGCTACTACTTTTACTACCACCATTACTTCCATTACTTTTTTCTTCATTTCCTGCGTTACCACTATTTTTACCACTCTTATCACCACTGCTTTTTTCAGTATTACCACCACTACCATCATTGTTGCTATCGCTACCACTACTGCTACCGGTACTTTTACCACTACTCCTGCCACCATCACTACCGCCACTGCTGCCGCCACTACTACCACTACCACGGCTACTGCTACCACTGCTGCTACCGCCACTGCTACCATCACTGCTACCACCACTGCTACTATCGCTACTACCACCATTGCTGGCAACACTGCTCCCGTCTTTGCTACTGCCACCGCTACCGTCACTGCTACTGCCACTGCTACCAACACTGCTACCACCTTTGCTATTGCTACCACCACTGTTACTGCCGTTGCTACTATCACTACTATCGCCGTTGTTACCGCTCTTGCTTCCACTACCATTACCGCCACTGCTACCACCACTGCTACTGCTACTGATACCACCTTTGCTACTGGCACTGTTACCGCCACTATTACCAACACTGCTACTACCACTGTTACTACCACTGCTACTGCCTTTGCTACTGTTATCATTAGCATCACTGCTATCGCCACTACTACCGCCACTACTACCACTACCACGGCTACTGCTACCACTGCTACCGCCACTGCTACCACCACCGCTACCACCACTGCTACTATCACTGCTACCACCACTGCTACCACCATTGCTACCGTCTTTGCTACTGACAACGCTACCCCCACTGCTTCCGCCTTTACTACTGCCACCATTCCCACCACTGCTACCACCACTTCCACCACCATTGCCACCACCACTGCCACCACTGTTACTGCCACTGCTGCTACCACTGCTATCGCCACTGTTACCGCTCTTGCTACTACTACCATTACTGCCACTGCTACCGCCACTGCTATCACCAGTGCTACCACCGCTGCTACCACCACTGATACCACCTTTGTTACCGGCAGTGTTACCGCCATTGCTACCACCGCTGCTACTATCATTGCTACCGCCACTGTTACTGTCACTGTTACCGCTATTACTACTGCCACTATTACCACCACTGCTACCACCACTACTACCATCACTAATACTGGCACTGCTTCCGCCACTGCTACTTCCATTGTTACTGCCACTGCCACTACCTTTGCTACCACCTTTGGTACTGCCACTGCTACCCTTTTCACTACTGCCACTGTTATCACTACTGCTACCACCATTGTTACTGCCACTACTACCGCCACTGCCACCGCCACTGCTATCACCACTGCTACCACTACTGGCACCGCCACTGGTACCTCCACTGGTATCGCCATTGCGTTCACTACTGCTACCACTATTGCTTTCACTACTGCTACCGCTGTTGCTTTTGCTTTCACTGTTACTACCATTACTGCTACTACTTTTACCACCGTCATTACTTCCATTACTTTTTCCTTCTTTTCGTTCGTTATCACCGTTTTTACTACCATTCTTATCATCACTGGGTTTTTCAGTATTACCACCACTACCACCATTGTTGCTATCGTTACCACTACTGCTACCGCTACTTTTACCGCCACTGCTGCCACCATCACTACCGCCACTAGCACCGCCACTATTACCGCCACTATTACCGCTACTGCTATCGCTACCACTGCTGCCACCACTGCTACTTTTACTGCTACCACCACTGCTACCACTTTTGCTACTGCCACTGCTGCCACTTTTGCTACTGCCACTGCTGCCACTTTTGCTACTGCCACTGCTACCACCTTTGCTACTGCCGCTGCTACCACCTTTGCTACTGCCACTTCCATCGCCACTGTTACCATCTTTGCTACTGCCACTGTTACCACCGATGCTACTGCCATTACTATTAGCACTTTTGATACTATTGCTACCTCTACTGCCACCGCCAGCGTTGCTGCCATCTTTTCCATTATTACCGCTTAGTTCAGAATTTTTACCTTCATTTGCATCTCGACTTGATTTGTTTGCTTCAATGTTTTTTTCACCATTTGCTTTACTACTTTTTTCTCCATTGGTTCCGCCATTTACTCCACCATTTGCTCCACCATTTGCTTTGCCATTTGCTCCGCCATTTACTCCACCATTTGCTCCACCATTTGCTCCACCATTTGCTCCGCCATTTGCTCCGCCATTTGTTCCGCCATTTGCTCCATCGTTTGCTCCGCCAATTGCTCCGCCATTTGCTCCGCCATTTGCTCCGCCATTTGCTCCGCCATTTGCTCTGCCATTTGCTCCCTTATTTGCTCCGCCATTTTCTACACCATTTGCTCCGCCATTTGCTCTCCCATTTGCTCCTCCACTCGTTCCACCATTTGCTCCGCCACTTGTTCCGCTATTTGGTCCGCCATTTGCTTTGCCATTTGCTCGACCATTTGCTGGACCATATGCTTCACTATTTCCTCCATTATTTGCTCCATTTGTTCCACTATTTGCTCCACCATTTGCTCTGCCATTTGCTCCACTATTTGCTTCACCATTTTCTTCGTTAGTTGTTCCACCATTTGCTCTATCATTTGCTTTGCCATTTACTCCGCCATTTGCTCCGTTATTTGCTCCACCATTTGCTCCGCCATTTGCTCCACCATTTGCTCTGCCATTTGCTCCACCCGTTGTTCCACCATTTGCTTCGCCATTTGCTCCGCCATTTTCTACACCATTTGCTCCGCCATTTGCTCCACCATTTGCTTCACCATTTGCTCCACCATTTGCTCCACCATTTGTTCTGCCCTTTGCTCCACCATTCGCTCCACCATTTGCTCCGCCATATGCTCCGTCATTTGCTCCGCCATTTGTTCCGCCATTTGCTGCATTATTTATTCCACCATTTGCTCCGCTATTTACTCCGCCATTTGCTCCGTTATTTACTCCGTCATTTGCTCCGCCATTTGTTCCGCCATTTGCTCCATTATTTATTCCACCATTTGCTCCGCCATTTACTCCGCCATTTGCTCTGTTATTTGCTCCACCATTTGCTCCGCCATTTGCTCCACCATTTGCTCTGCCATTTGCTCCGCCATTTGTTCCGCCATTTGCTCCGCTATTTACTCCGCCATTTGCTCCGCCATTTGTTCCGCCATTTGCTCCACTATTTGCTCCACCATTTGTTCTGCCATTTGCTCCACCACTTGCTCCACCATTTTCTTCGCCATTTGCTCCGCCATTTGCTCCAACATTTGCTCCGCCATTTGCTCCGCCATTTGGTCTATTGTTTTTTCCACCAATTGCTCCGCCATTTACTCCGCCATATGCTCCGTTAATTGTTCCAGCATTTGCTTCAGCATTTGCTCCACCATTTGCTTCACTATTTGCTTCGCCATTTATTCCGCCATTTGCTCCACCATTTGCTCCGCCATTTGCTCCGTCATTTGCTCCGCCATATTCTCCGCCATTTGCTCTACCATTTATTTCTCCATTTGCTCCGCCATTTACTCCGCCATTTACACTGCCATTTGCTCCGCTATTTGATCCGCCATTTGCTCCGCCATTTGTTCCGTCATTTGCTCCGCCATTTGCTCCGCCATTTACCCCGTTATTTGCTTTATTATTTACTTCGCCATTTGCTTCACCATTTGCTTCACCATTTACTCCGTCATTTACTCCGCCATTTGCTCCTTCATCTGCTCCGCCATTTGCTCCACCATTTGTTCCGCCATTAACTCCGCTATTTACTCTACCATTTGCTCCGCCATTTGCTCCGCTATTTGCTTCGCCATTTGCTCCACCATTTGCTCCACCATTTGTTCTGCCATTTGCTCCGCCATTTGCTTCGCCATTTACTCTACCATTTGTTCCGCCATTTGATCCGCCATTTACTCCGCCATTTGCTCCGCTATTTGCTCCGCCATTTGCTCCACCATTTGTTCCGCCATTTGCTCCGCCACTTACTCCTTCATTTGCTCCTTCATTTGCTTTGCCATTTGCTACACCATTTGCTCCGCCATTTGCTCCGCCATTTACACTGCCATTTGTTCCGCCATTTGCTCCGCCATTTGCTCCGCCATTTGTTTCGCTATTTGCTCCACCAATTACTCCTTCATTTGCTTCTTCGTTTGCTTCGTTATTTGCTCCACCATTTGCTCCGCTATTTGCTCCGCCATTTGCTCCGCCATTTGCTCTACCATTTGTTCCACCATTTGCTCCACTATTTACTCCTTCATTTACTCCGCCATTTGCTCCTTCATTTACTCCGCCATTTGCTCCGCCTTTTGCTCCGCCATTTGCTCCACCATTTGCTCCGCCATTTGCTCTACCATTTGTTCCACCATTTGCTCCACTATTTACTCCTTCATTTACTCCGCCATTTGCTCCTTCATTTACTCCGCCATTTGCTCCGCCGTTTGCTCCGCCATTTGCTCCGCCATTTGCTCCGCCATTTGCTCCGCCATTTGCTCCGCCATTTGTTCCGCCATTTGCTCCGCCATTTTCTCCGCTATTTGCTGTACCATATGCTTCGGCATTTGCTCCGTTATTTGCCCCGCTACTTGCTCCGCCATTTGCCTCACCATTTACTCCACCATTCACTCCGCTATTTACTCCGCCACTTACTCTGCTACTTGGTCCGCCATTTGCTTTGCCGTTTTCTCCACCGTTTTTTCCTCCTATTGTTCCACCAATTACTCTACCGTTTGCTCCACTATTAGCTCCATTATTTATTCCACCATTTGCTCCACTACTTTCTCCTCTATTTATTCCGCCATTTGTTCCGCCATTTGTTTCGCTGTTTAATGCACTATTAGCACCATCATTAGGTTCTTTATTTGAACCACCGTCGGCTACTTCATTTGCTTCACCTTTTGCTCCACTGTTTGTTCCGCTATTTACTTCAATGTTTGAATTATCATTCGCTCTACCATTTGTATTGCCATTTAATCCACCATTTTCTTCACTACTTGTTCCTCCATTTATTTCGCCATTTGCTTCGCCATTCATTCCACCATTTGCTCCACTATTTGCTTTATTGTTTAATACACTATTTGCTCTACTGTTTGAACCACTGTTAGCTCTACTATTTGCAACGCCATTTGTTTCGCCATTTTCTCCACCGTTTTCTCCTCCTATTGTTCCACCAATTACTCCACCGTTTGCTCCACTATTAGCTCCATTATTTATTCCACCATTTGCTCCACTACTTTCTCCGCTATTTGTTTGAACGTTTGTTCCACCATTCTCTCCACCATCAGCTCCACCGTTGGCTCCACCGTTGGCTCCACCATTTAATCCGCCATTTCCTTTTCCATTTGCTCCACCATTTGCTGCACTGTTTGCTCTACCATTTGCTCCACTATTTGTTTCATCATTTGCTCCACTGTTTTCTCCGCCATTTGGTCCGTCGTTAGCTCCACTATTTGTTCCACCATTTTTTCCACCATTTGCTCCATTGTTTGTTCCGCCATTTGCTCCACTGTTTGTTTCACCATTTGCTTCACCATTTCCTCCACCATTTGATCCGCTATTTGTTCCTCCATTTGTTCCTCCATTTGCTCCGCTATTTGCTTCATCATTTGCTCCGCCACTTGCTTCGTTACTTGCTCCACCGTTGGTACCAACGTTTGTCCCTGCATTAGTTAGAGTGTTAGCTTCAATATTAGTTTCATTATTAGCAACTGATCTGTCTCCGTTATTCCCTCCGACTTTTAGACCACCATTCGTAGCTCCACTTTTTACACTATTAACACCATTATTTGCGACATTGTTATTACCACTATTTGCTCCGTGATTAGTTCCGTCATTTGGTGTACCATCAGCTCCATTTAAGTTTCCACTATTTGCTCCATTATTAGCTCCGGCATTAACTCCACTATTGTTTTTATCGTTTGTTTCAGTATTTATACCATTTTTTGCTCCGCTGTTAATTTTTCCGTTTGTTTCAATGTTTGTTTCATCATTGTTTCCGCTATTAGCTCCTCCATTTGCTCCACCAGTAGCTCCGCCATAAACTCCACTTGTGACTCCGTCATTTTTGCCATATATTTTACTGTTAGCTCCGCTATTAGACTCTCCAATTGTTCCACCGTTAGCTCCACCATAAGTTTCGCTATTAGCTATCTCATTACTACTACTCTTACTTACACCTTTTGCTCCATTATTAACTCCACTAATAATCTCGTTGTTTGATGTATTTTTTTTTGCGACTCCATTAGTTTCACCACTCTTTTCAGCTGTTACACCACTATTTGCACCACAACTAGTTTTACCATTTGCTTCAACATTAGGTTCACCACTATTTCTAGGATTATTTTCAGCATTTGTGCAGCTATTTGAGCTGCTTGCTCCCTTAAAAGCTACTTCATTATTGGTTTCCCCGTTTCCTCCAATATTTGTTTCGCTATTAGCTCCATGATTTGCTCCAGTATTTGCTTTACTATGAACCTCGCCATTAATATCACCATTAGTTCCTCTATATGAGCCACTATTAGCACTACAAGTTACTTCATCATTAGCTCCACCGTTTGTTCTCCCATTAGTTACCTCGTTATCTTTAGTATTAGCGCCATTGTTTGTTTCGCTTTTATCTCCGTTATATATTCCACTATTAATAACACTGTTTATTGCGCTATTTGTACCACTGTTTGCTCTGCTATCAACTCCGTTGTTTTCTCGTCCGTTTGCTTTGATATTAGCTCCATCGTTTGCATTAATTTTTCTATTGTTTCCATCATTAGTAATGCTATTTGCTCCATTATTGGTTGCACAATTTACACCTTCATTAACTTTCTCGTTTTTTAAATTGTTTTCTCCGTTAATTGATACACTATTTGCAGTCTCATTTCCTTCTCTGTTTGTTACACCATTTAATCCACCGTTTCCTCCATTAATAATTTTACTACTGCCTCCATTATTTTCTTTGCTAATTGCATTACTATTTGCTTTAACGTTTGCTCCACTAATTAATCCTGTATTGATTTCTTCGTTTACTCCACTGCTTGCTACTCCGTTTTTTCCTCCGTTTATTATATTATTTGTTTTGCCACAAGCTTTATCATTTGCTACAATGTTTTCTCCGTTACTCATTCCGTTATTTTGATTGCTTACTCCAATGTTTACTTTGCTACATTTTTCTTTGTTTTCTTGTCCATTTTCTCCTCTATTTGGGCCGCCATTTACTTCATTTTTTGCTCCCCCAATGACCCCGTTATTCATTCCAGTATATGTTTTGCTATTTTCCACTTCATTTAATCTTCCACCGTTTGCTCCTCCAATTACATCACCTTTTAGTACGTCATATGCATTTGATTTGCTGTTTGTGTTATTTTTCAATCTTTTGTTTTCCCCACTAACTGATCCAATATCTAGTCCTGATTTTGTCATATTTGTTACACTATCAACATTTAACTTAGGATTAAATCCAGCATTAATATAAGCATTAGTTCCAATTTTTGTACTTGCATTAGCATTGCTAGCATTGTTGTTTATATTACCAATTCTTTCGCCACTTGTTTTGCTATTCTTGGCGCTGAAAGTCTTGTTATTGATTACGCTGTTAACTCTATTATTTTCTCCACTTACACCTTTAAAATTCATTTCGTCCTTTGCTCCAGCATTTGGGCCACCATTTACTTTATTGATTGCACTTAAAATGTTTTTGCTATTTGATTCATTTATTTTTTTAATATTTAACCCATCTATTAATCCGACTGTTCCAATAAGTGATCCGTGTTTTCCATAAATTGATCCGCCAGTTACATTAATTGATCCGTCTGTTCCATTAGGAAACTTGTTTAAGCTACTTATTAATTTATGGTCAAATTTAACATTTTTATCATTATTTAATCTAGCGTTAATTTTACTGTTTGATTCAAAAACTTTTTTATCTGAGATCCCAGATACACGAGTAGCTCCTACTCCAAAAGGATCGATAGTTTTTATTCCATTATATTTACTTTGTCCTGCTTTTTTATTTAATGAACTTTCCCTTTCTTCTTTTTCTAATTTTTTACTTTTTTCATGAGTACCTTTTTTATTTTTTACTTTTATTTCTTTTTCATTGTGTGTTTTGCTTCCTTCAGATTTTCCATCTGACTTCTGTGTATCAAATCCAACGTCTTTAGTTCTTTTATCGGTTCTTTCTTTAATTGTGACTCCGAAACCATTTTCTAGTTTACAAATAACTTCACCATTATTTCCTATACGATTATTTTCAATATTACTATTTTCGCTGACGCTAACGCTTTTGAACTTATTATCATTTTCATTTTGTTCTCCGTCACAGTTTTTGTCAACTACGCCATTTGCATTATTAACAACATTATTGCTCATATTACTTATTGGATGAATAGTTACTATAGTAACACCTTCATTGTTATTTTTATTAACTTTTTCATTCCCCTCATGCTTGAATATTATATTTTTATCTTTGTCTTTTTTAGTGTTTTTATAATTTAAATGTTTTTCATATCCTTCAATACTTTTCCCGCTTTCAAAAACTTTACGCTCCATGGTTTTGTCATTAAAATTTGATATTTTTACAGTATTAGCTTTGTTGATTTTTTTTGATTTATTTTGATTTAGATCTTCTGTAGAATGAGTTTCGGAGTTATTGAAGTTAACTTTCTTTGCAGTTTTATCTTTATTTTTTCTATTTCCTTTAAGTAAAAGAACCGAATTTACCTTTAAATTATGTGCGCCTGAGGCGTTTATACTTTTTACATGCAAAACAGCCGTATTTTCTTTTAAATTTTTGTAGACACTGACGTTAATATTTTCTTGAGTAGGCTCCTTTTGCACTTTTTTTTTATTTGTTGTTAAGGAAGCTCCTCTTTGCAGATATGCTCCAGGTTTACATTTGTCGCGCACTTTTCCATTTAAACATTTTTTGGTTACGTTGTTACTACTATCTAGGAACATGGTATTTTCAGAATGTTGTGCAATACTGTCCATTCCAATGTTAAAGTCTTGATCATTTTTGAGAATAAAAACTTTGTTATCGGCACCGTCTTTTTTAGGAGTTTGATGTTTAAAGTCGAGATTTTTATTGTGTTTATTTGTATTATTAACTTGTTCAGATGTAGGCTCTTTAAGTAATTTGTAATCATTGATAAATTTAGAATTTACCTGAGTATTTGCTAATGAGGTATTTTTTAAAGAAATTATTCTGGTATCGGATGCTTTTAATTTCGTACTTGAGGATTCTATAGACTTCAAGTTTATGTTTGAGTTATCAAAAATGATGTCTGAGGTATTAAAAATGTCATAAAAAACCCCGGTTAAATTTAAGCATATGTCTGAAGTAAAATTACCCTTGCGCACGTTTTCTGTAAAGCTACCAATAACGTTACCACCAGGTAAATACTTTGCAACTACGTAGGTGCACAAAAGTCCTGCGCTATTTTTAAAAGAAGATTTGCCAAAACCTACTTTATTTGAGGCACTCCAAACAACTTGGGTAAAATGACCTGCATTTCCTGGGTAATCTGAGGTAAAATCATATTGCTCCTTGCAGACTTCATCATACCTAAAATATATTTTGAAATTTTTTAATAAAAACTGAAATTAAAACTTAAAAATAGTGTATTTCTAATGTCAACTAAAAATAAATTTAGAAATAAATTATTTTTTAATAAATAATTAAGTTGAAATGAGAGCTAGAAAAGCTTATTTTATTTTTAAATTGATATTTTTGAAGCTTTCAAACTCAAATTTATTTTAAAAAAATATATAAGTTTAATAATAATAAAAATAGGAGATAAATTGTGAGATTTTATATCAGGACTGCAAAGCTGATAGAAGGGCTTTGAAGTTTATATCAGGACTGCAAAGTTGACAGAAAAGCTTTGAAGTTTATATCTGAGGAGTGAAATAGAATTTTAAGAAGTTGGGTAAGTAAGGTAAGCGAGATTTGAAGTTGCGGCATAATAAAATTTAATCCTCGTTACACTCTTGCGTGATGATGCAAGGATCAAATTTCAGCTATTTTCATAAACACTATTTGTTAAAACAATTTTAAATAACAGCGTATTAGAATTTACCGAAAGTTAAATACGTTACGAAATATTTAGTTCATTTATTACGAACTGGATTCCGTCCTAACTCATTTATTACGAACTGGATTCCGTCCAGTACAACAAATTAATATATTAGTAAGAAATGAAAATTTTTACTTTTATACAAACTATTAAAATAAAAATAATAAAATGCACATGATTAGGTATTTTTCTGCAATAAAAAGATAATATATAAGATAATATATCAAGTAAAAAGTAGTTATAAAGATTTACATTATGAAAGAATTTTTTTCTTTTGGTTCCGCAAAACAAACGGAACACGTGAAATTGCATAGATAGGATTTAGAATTTCGAACTTTGAAAGAGGGTGTGAAATCTTGTTCAAAAATTGCACCAAGATTTACGCAAATTAGACCTAAATTTAAATAATAAAACAACTTTGCTTGTTTGGTTTTTACTAGTTATTTTTATTTTTCACTTTTTAAAAAATATTTTTTTTGTACCTTTATTAGTTGTGAATTCTGTTTATTTAAAAGGACAAAATCGTTTGATTATTTAACCTAATTGTGTTTAATGTAGCTCGTGCTACATACAGAAAACATTATCTACTCAGTTTTCAGGACAAGATTGAAAGTTTAAAGCATAAAATGCTTCAAATTTAATTTACTTTAACAGAAACTTTGAGCCTTTAACATCACTTGCTTTTTTATAAATAGGTAACTAAAATTCTTAATTTACAATAATTGTTGTACCATCTTGTAAAATTTATTTTAGCTTGATCTCATGTATATTTTTTTGTTGTCTACTTATGCATATTTTTGTTGATCTTTATTGTGTCATTCATTCTTTCTACATTCATTCATTCTTTTAAACCAAAGAGGATTAGTAACTAACATTGAGCGTGTTGCACAACAAATGTACAAAAGTTTAACAACACAAAAAAGCTTAAATAACTCACGTATACAGCTCAAGTTAAATCGAAGCAGAGTTGATAATGCCGCCCGGTGGCAAAGTAACTTTCTGCCGAAAGGCCGACTTTTTATGGAGGCAGAAGCTGTTGACGGCGGCCTCCCGATCAATTTTTAGCGGCAAAATATTCATTCTTCCGCCTCCAGTAGCTTCCGCTTTTCTATTGGCGGCCGCAGCTGGAGTTCTTTTTTGGAGGCACAACGTTTTGAAGGCCGACGCCAATAGAGTGGCGGAAGCCAATGGTGGCCGCCTCCAGAAGAAATTTTGGAGGTAAAGCCATTTGGAGGCCGCCTCCAATAGCTTCTGCCTCCTAACTGGCTGCGACCGTCAAATTGGAGGCAGAAATATTTGCCTCCCGCCGGCGGATGTAATGAAAAATAAATGTTTGCTTTAAAGCAATTAAATATTAACTAGAAACAAATGTTAAACAACAATAAAGTTAAAAGATGTTTTTAATAATGTTAAAAGATGTTGTGTTTTTCAAATATTTTTACAATACATAATGACTAGAATTAATAATTTAATGTTATGGTCGAAAAATTAAAGTTTTAGCGTGACGTAAGGGCGACAAAATATCAAACTACCAAAAACTTATTTGTAAATTATTTGTCATAAACTTTTTTTTTTTTGCTTAAGCTATGTAAACGAAATTTTTAATTTTTAATATTTGTTTTGAAATAAAAGTTACTAATTTATTCGATAATGGTAGATAAACAATTGTTTATCTACCATTAAAAAAAATTATAACTTTATCAGAGCGGTTGTACAACCGCTCTGATAAAGTTATAATTTTTTTTCATAAAATTTTTTAAATAGTCAATAAATAATATAAAATAAAACTTTGATGTCAAGTATTTAACATTTGTTTCTAGTTAATATTTAATTGCTTTAAAACAAACGAACAATTATTTTTCATCGCATCCGCTAGCGGGAGGCAAATATTTCCGCCTCCAATTTGACGGCCACAGCCAGTTAGAACGCAGAAGCCACTGGAGGCGGAAGAAAGAACATTTTGCCGCTAAAAAATGATCGGGAGGCAGCAGCCGTCTGCTGCGGAAGAAAAGTGGAGACAAGAAGATTTACGCCGTTTATCAACACTGAATCGAAGTATTAACTTCGATCAATCTTTTCTGTATCATTTTTAAATAAAAAAGTCTGGAAAAAAAATTAAAGCTATATTTTTATTATATAAAAACAAATTATAGTATTAATAATATTAAAATAAATAATTGTAAGATATTTTAAAAAATAAAAAAAAAACTTAATTAGTTAGATTATTTAAAACATTGATTTGCTTAAAAGTTTAATTGAACTCAAGTTTAGAATAGAAAAAAAAAAAGTAAATATCTAATCTTTTAAAAAATATCAAATCGATGGCTTCAAATGCTGAGTTGATTGACTTTGATAATTTACCAATTGAGCATCAACCCATTAAAAAATATTTTTGGCAGGGCTTGTGATCTAGCGTACCGAAGCAAAAATATTTTTTGTACTGAACCAGTTTTATTATGTACTGTGAATGCTGAAGTCCTGTCTTACAATCTCCCGTCATACAATCTCCTTCACTCAATATCTTTATCAATGGAATCAAACATAATTCTAGTATTTTTAGTCTAACATCTTTAAATCTATAGATTAATCCGCCCGTTATACAGTTCACGCATACCAAGATCTTTCCTTTCTTCTCTTATCCATTGCAAATGTTCTTTACATCAATTTTTTTCTTTTGCATTGATTTTCTTATTATAATTTTAAACCAAATACCTTTTTTTGATAACTTTCTTCTAACAAGTTTTCTGCTTACAAATCAATTAAAAAAGATTCTTTATATATTTATGTCTAGTACTTGTTCTGCTCGTTTAAAGTAAGCCAGCAAAATTGTCATGGTTTAAAATAAACCAGCAGAATTGTCACCGTCGCTAAGCTTCAAAGATCCTTAAGTACAAGACATGTCAACAAAGTCACCTGTCAGCTGTAGTTTGGTAAATTTTATAAAGTTAAGTATCACGTGGATAACAATCAATCAAAATAATACTTCTAAGTTTTTATGAAAAATAACTTATCATAAAGGCAGTGTTAGTAAAACGTAGCAGAAGTGGGAAAAGTAAAAAAAAAAATTGCACTCAAGTAAAAGTACTGTTACTTGAGTGAAAACTTAATCAACTACAAGTAAAAGTTACCATTCGAAAAGTTTACTCAAGTAAAATTAAAAAGTAGCTTATTAAAAATGTACTCAAAATAAAAGTTACTGAGTTACTTTTTTAACAGCTTCTCAGATAACAAAGCTGTCGAATGAAAAAACAAAAATCATATTTATATATATATTTACTCGAAACTATGGACTTTTTGATTTACACTACATCACAAAAGTTACCTGTTGATGCCTTATTTCGCGATTTTGCCAAAGCATTTGACAAAATTCCTCACAAAAGGTTACTAAAAAAGCTTGAATCTTATGGAATTAGTGAAATATTTTAAATTGGATTTATGCCTTTCTTTCTAACAGAACACAACGTGTCCTCCTTGGTAATGTTGCATCCGATTGGAAACAGTTTACTTGTTGCGTTTTTCAGGGCTCAGTTCTTGGTCCAACACTATTTATAGTCTATCTTAATGACTTACCAGAACATATTAGCAGCAAAAATAAATGCAAAATGTACGCAGATGACACAAAAGTCCTCAGTGTAGTTATGCATATCAACTAATGTAAATCTGTCCCTCACATCTACTTAATCAATGAAAACAACTCCAATAGCAGAGTCAAAAGAATCCAGCTAGAAACAACAACATTGGAAAAAGACCTTGGTGTTCAATTATCTGTTGATCTAAAGTACAAAAATTAAGTGTTCACCGCTGCTGCTAAAGCTAACAAAATCTTAGGTATGTTGAAGCACACCTTTATTAGCAAAGATGTAAAAGTCTGGAAAAACCTCTATACTATATACGTACGTCCACATCTAGAATATGCTACCACCACCTGGTGCCCTCACCTTAAAAAAGACATTACAGAAATTGAACAAATACAACATAGTGCCACAAAAATACCTCACGAATTAAAGCACCTTGTTTACAAGACAAGATGTGATATACTTGGACTAACTTCACTAAGTGACAGAAGAAAACTTGGTAACCTTATCCAAAAATTCAAAATTGAAAATAAAACTGAATTAATCAACTGGCATATTGACCCAATATACATTCCTCCCATCTATGGTCATCGCAAACGCTTTCATTGCGAAATTAATAGCAACTGCCTCGTTTGACCTAACTTTTTCAACAATCGGGTTGCAAATACTTGGAATGCTCTGACGGATGATGTTGTCAATGCCTCTACTATTGAAAGTTTCAAAAAAAAACTAGACCAGCAACTCACATAGTTACCATAGCGCATCATTTTTCGTGACTATTATCGCAGCTATACGAGCTAGCTTGCTAGCTAATGATGAACTTACGGTTCATATCTGTACGGTGTAACTTTAATTGTAATTGTAATTAATATAAAAAATATCTGAATAGTTTAAAAGTTAATATTTTTATAAATTATAAAAATTCCAGCTTTTTTTTCTTTAATGACAAACCAGGTTATCTTTTAACTTAACACTGAAAACAAGCATTATCAGTTTTTATTGTTTTAACAAATCGCTTCAAGATGAAGTGATTGAAAAACTATTTTATTTCTGCTAACAATGGGTTCATTCACAATACTTGGCTTACCCACTATAAGAGTGACGCAAATTAGCCATTCCTTTTGTATCCAGTGTTGCTTTCTATCTCATATACATAGATGACATGGAAGTTTAGTAAAACCTTTCTGCTAATCAAGAAGAAAGTTAACTATTTTTAAATCTACGCAAGTGATCCAGTTGATTTCTGGATGTTTAATCAAGTTAAGCACCATTTTAATGTCATAGTAAGTCTCATGCATTTAAAAGGACAAATTTGAGGCTTTGCTTGAGCTATCGAAAAATAGTCTCTATTCTGGCGTATTACATACAGAAATACCTAACTGTAATAGGAAATCTGAAATATCATTATAGAAAATAAATAAATGGACTTCTGAAAAAAAGTTAGCAAGTGTTTTTTTCGCTTTGCTGCTTTCTTATAATGTCCTAAATCACGCGCTTAGTCATTCAGCCCTATCAGACTAAAACACTGAGGTAATTTTAAACGTTTCGCATTAAAGAAGTTTCCGAATCTGATATAAGCTCTTCAAGTTTTGTAGCAGACATGCTTTGTTTATCATCTAACAAAAATAAACTTTTAAAAATTGGAATCGGAATCTTTTCATAATGTCGAATTGGTCTAATAGCAGAAGGAATATTGGGATAAATTATTTTTTACCGCTTTATCTTTTTTATAACAGACGTATTGACAAGACAAAAATTGCATTCGTCAATATGGTTTAGTAGTTCTCTCCAAACCACAGGGAATCCAATAAGGTAAATTTTTCCTTTTTTTTTCAAACTTTAATGACTCTTTTTGCAAATATGGCGCACAGTATGTGGTGCCCATTTTTAATCTTGGTAACCAAGTTTTGATAAAAATGCTTTAAAAAAACCATATTTTTGAAAAATTGTAAATTTAGAAATTGCTAAAAAAGAAGAGCTTGCCGACAAAAACAAATTTGAAATTAGCATTAAAAGATATAAAAAGATTTGAAATTAGCATTTAAAAATGTATAAAAGTTAGTTTAAATATCTTATGGAACTGCAAAAAAAGGTTTTTCTTGTAAATCTGTGATATTTAATGCTATCGTGAAATCTAAAAAATATCAGAAAACTTATTCATAAAAGATCTCACATCTTTTAAAAGACCTTTCATTAAAAATCTCAGAAAAATCTTTTTTAAAAGATCTCAGAGAATTCTCTACTAAAAAAGAAAAGTTTTGCATCAAATAATTAAAAAATAAAATGGAGCAATGTAAAATTGTTTATAATAAAGTTCCTAAAAGTTGTATACAACTTTTTTAAATTTTTCTTTTGTCTTTTAGGAACTTTATCATAACCAATTTTACATTGCTCCAGTGCAGAACTTTATTATAACCAATTTTACATTGCTCCAGTGAGCGCGTTTTTGATTTTGTTAGTGTGGGTAAGTAAATTGGAGAAGTATACTTCTCCAATTTACTTAAAATGGACAATTCAAAACCCACTCTAACAAAATCAAAAACGCGCGTACTGCCCAAAACTTTATTAATTAGTATGATTTTTTCTTCCAATCCAACTTTAAAATGTTTTGATCAAGACTAACTTTTGTGTCAGTTGACCCAAATTTTAATAAAAGCATCCTTTTGTGACTGACAAAATAAATGTTTATGATTTTTCAATAACTTCATTCGTAACTTTTTTTAAATTAATCTTTAAAGAATTTAAACAATTTTATAAAATGTTTAAGCGAAATAAACCATTTGGTCGCAGTATTGCTAAAACTTTAAAAAATTTTTAATGAACAGTTAGAGTTTTCTTAGATTTATTAAAACTCTTTGATACAACTGATCATAAGATTTCCCTTTAAAAAAATTAAATAATATGGAATTATAAAAAAAAATTAATGCAGATTAAAACTTAATTAAGACCCCTCAAATTTATTAGACTTATTAGACTGTAAATCTTCATACTTAACTCTCATACTTAACTCATACTTAAATCATATTTTGCGAGATTCTTTCATATCAGCCGGAAATTTCGTATTTATAGTGAAAATTTTGTCTTGTAAATCCGTTTAATTGGCTATTAGTAACATATCGTATGATTGGCTATTAGTAACATATCGTATGATTGGCTATTAGTAACATATCGTATGATTGGCTATTAGTAACATATCGTATGATAGGCTATTAGTAACATATCGTATGATTGGCTATTAGTAACATATTTTGTTGTAATAGAATAGAAATAATCTTTTTTTCAAGAAAAAACATTGAATTTGGCATAAAACACTTTTGAAATTAGTTTCAAAAGTGTTTTATTCATAATTTTTCAAAATACTGAAAATAAAATTACAGCAATAAAAATAGTTTCTTTATTTTCAGGTAATTTTATTGGTTTATATATATATATATATATATATATATATATATATATATATATATATATATATATATATATATATATATATATATACAAATATATATATATATATATATATATATATATATATATATATATATATATATATATATATATATATATATATATATATTATATATATATATATATATATATATATATATATATATATATATATATATATATATATATATATATATATATATATATATAACCCAATAAAATTGAAAATACATATTACACCCCCCTTTTATGGGGATAGGGGAGTGTAGTATGTATTTTTTTGCCAACTAGAGGTAAAAAAAAAAAAGAAAGGTCCTTAATATTTGCAAGTTTCCAACAACAGTTTAAAACTTGCTAAATGTACCAACTCAAATGCCTATATGACAGCTTTGGGGGTGAGACACCCCCAAAGTCCCCCACGGGCGGTCCCCGTTGGGGACCGCCCTGCAAATATAAATGTAAAAAATAATACAAATATACATGTAAATAATATTAAATACCAATGTAAAATAGCTTCGTATCCAGGCATTTCTTTTGATGAACATTTTACAGCAAGATTTTCTCCTTCATCGCTATCTTCAGTGGGTTCAAGCACTCCACTTTTTGCTGCACTCAACGCGTGTTTTTGGGCTTTTTTATTTAATTCGCTGTTTTCAATTAAATCTTTAGATCCATGAATTCTTCGAAGTCGATTATGAATTTCCAAGGCAACCGTTCTGAAACTTCCTTAAAAAATTTTTATAGATGCAGAAACATATTTTTTAAAAACTATAAAAAATTTTTAAATAAAATCTGAAAAAGATGTTAAAACATGTTATGAAAAAGAAAAGTTTATATTTAAGGTTGTACTACAATTTGAAAAGTCCATAATCACTAAAACTATTATTTTTTATCTTATAATACTTTTTACTATATTATAATTATCATAAAGGAAAAATGCCCTACAACGTCTTACAACGCCCTACAACGCCCTACAACGACAACAACAACACTGTTCAAGATTTTCTATTTAAATGTTGGGTAGCAGCTGGGTAGGTTCAATACTAAATTTAATATAACTATCAACGTAGAGCAACTATTAACTTTGTGTTTAGTAACTAAGACTTAAAGTATACTTTATAATTATAATTATTAAACAAATTAATTACCAAGAGTAACTATTAAAGTAATTGTATGTCAACTATTAAAGTAGTCTGCATTATACTAAATATACTACAGAAATCAATAGTTTTTGGTCTTTTACTTAAATAACTTACAAGTACAAACATGTATCTAGGTATATCCATGTATCTAAGAACGAACCTTGAAAAATACTCTTAAACGCAGTTTAAACGTGGGTATCACTTGCCAAAATGTAGGAGAAGTTGGTTTTTTGAAATATGAATTTAAATATCCTAAACTCAATAAAAATTTACACAAGAATTTAAAATTATATTGAATAATGTTACAATTTTTAGAAATTATATTAAAGTTACTCCTTAAAATTTTACATAAATTTTAAAAACTTGCTGTATTTAAAACTTTTGGTAAACTATGAATTTAGCGCTCACAATCATCACCGCGTTTGCAAAGTGCAGTACATGCAAGTAATGCTTTTACACATTTACAAAAACCTTTACAGCCTTTCTTCATTTTGTAGCCTCATTGTATAAATTCATCGCACATTTTGGAAGCTTCTTGAATCGTCGTCGAAACATTTTTTTAAAAATTGTCTTCTATAATTCAACACCAATCACATGGATTAGGCAATGAGTTTTTGTACAATGGTTGTGCACAGCGATACAAATTCTGACAAACAGCTCTATAGATATGCAGTTGCAAAGCATCTTTGGTAGGGGTTATGACGTTTTTTAAAGGTCCTTTTTTAAAATAAGTCTTCTGCAAGATTGGCTTTGTTAATTTTTTACTTTGATATTACCGAGACTTGGTTGATCATAACAATCAAAATATTGGTTCAAAGACAAAATACTTGCGTTGCTTTATGTTCTGATCAATTTTTGTTCTGATCGACACTTCTTTTTTGTTCTGATTGACGTGAAGAAATGACTACCAATTAGTCGAATAACACACGACAACCTTTCCTTTTTTTACCTACTCTTTAAGGCTGTTCTCTGTGTAAACATCACTAATAATATAAACTTTTGCATACAATTACTGCTCCAAGATAAATTTTTGGAATATAAACTCTTACATATAATTACTGCTTACGGAAATAAGTTAAAAACCCAATTTATTTTCACTGCGTAACAGTCCATTTTTTAAAAAAGATGGTGAAAAGGTGAGGCTTTCATAAGCAACAAACTTGTTAAGGTTTTTATCTCGGATCTGGCTGGAAATATACAGTTGCAAAAACATTTGACAGTTCTTTTTGAGCACATATTTTCAATGGGTCTTTTAATTTAATTTTTTAATTATATTCGTTTTATTGGATTGAATATAGACTCCTTATACCACTTTATTCTGGTTTGGAAAAAATGGTTGACTATTTTTTACCCGAAATTCTCAATAAAATTAACCGTATTTACCACTTCTATGTATTTGATATCATGGGTATCAAGTACCAGAAGATGTAGAGTTTCTTCTTTAAATGGATTATCCATGTTTGAAATTACATCAACTAAATTTGTAACTAGAGACGCAAACCAATTTTAATAACCTTTATTTTGCTTATGATGTTTGAAACTTATTTCCATGAATTCAAGTTTATCATTTTTGTCTATGGTAAATTTGCTTCAAGTTCATTTACACCTCAAGCTAACTCAGACCCACAAATCATCCAAAATATAAAGAGCGGCAGCAATTACCTATTACGGATTTATTTATTTACTTAGATTGTGTATAATTCAAAAATATTTGAGCAATGATGTTCAGTAATGATTGTTTGTAATTCACAAAATCAAATTCATCTTTCTTAAAATTGAAAAAATTTACCTGTTACACACTTATTGTTTTTGATGCATGTGATGCATTAAAGTATTACATGCAGATGAAATCTACCTGATAATGAAATCTCTGCTTTAACTAAAACATGACATCATCCGCAATCTTTCAACCAATCTCCAATTGTTTTAAGCGCCGCCATTTCAGTATGAAAAGACCCCATCATAATGATAAAGCTACGTTGGATCCTTACAAAAGCTACGTTGGATCCTTACAAAAAAAAACCAGTGAACTTTCCCTTTAATTTCGCTGGAAATCTAAAAGATCACTGGAAATTCACGGAGTTCGCGGGTTTTTAGCAAAATTTACTGGAAACAATAGATTTCGCTGGAAGTACACTGGAATTCTTTCCAAATTTTTGTTTTTAATAATAGAAAAACAGCTCGAGCTGCTTTTCTATTTTTAAAATTTGGTAAAACGTATAGATTCGAGACGCTTGGCAAACTAATTTTTTTCTAAAGTAGTTTAAAACTTTACTACGCATTTGTTTTGATAATTACATAACCCTGTTATAAGAATTGATACTCCGAGATTATAAAGTTTATCAACAAATAGTTTTTTTCGAAATTTCGTATAAATCATTATATAAATTGGAACTTTCTCGAGATTTTTATCTTTTTTAAATCTTTTGTTGACTTTGGCGAAAGCGTTTCATGCTATTGTGAATTATCGATTGACTAGTTGTTAAAGTTTCTAGTTCTAAACCTCGACTAGATTTAGTCGAGGTTTAGATGTGCACCGAGGTTTAGAAGTGCACCGTCAGAGTTTTCACACAAAAAATATTTCGAAATGGTTTCACAAGCTATATTTAAAGAAGCCCTCTAACTTGGTAGCTTATTGATTAAATAAAAAAAAATTTTGACACCATCATCTTTCTTCTTGCACTCTAGTTGATTTATTAGTACATGTTTTTCAGGCTTTTTAATTTCGTATTACTAAATCTATTATAACTCAAGTTATAAAACTTTGTATCATGCTTAATAAAATTTCTATCAGTTTATTTATTTTAATATTATCAAATAATATTGTAATTGGTGACTCGCAGAGTCGCTCAAATTTTTTTCTATTTATGGCAACCTTTTCATATGTAACTCTAGAATTGTTGTTTTTTCTTTGAACATTCTCAGGATAAATTAAACTTTCGATAGTTTTCCTCTCACAATACAAACATAAGTTTCAGTTAATTGACGAAACTTAAGTTTGTATTGATTGCTGCTATATGATTAATAAAATTTCATATAAAACTAATTTAAATGGCATACAAAATAAATCATAGAAAAAATTATTCATTTTTATTTCTTTCAAGTTTCTAAACTGCTGCCATGCCATTTTTTGAGTTTTTAAAAATGATAAAAATCATACACACCATCTGCAAACTACTTCATGGAATTGATAGAATAATTAAATTTAAAAAATAACGTGTGATTAAGGGGCTATTCACAAAGGACGTCATGTTTATATGGGGGAGGGTGTCAAAATAAAAAAGACAAAAAAAGACAAGGGAAAGGACGGGGGTTATCAGAAATAGATGTAATGTTATAAAATTTTTTAATTTTAGTTTTAATAACATGGAAAAGTATTTAAACATGTGTTTTTATGAAGTCAACGTAAGGTAAAGAAATATTTTTATCTATCCTAATTAAAGAAGAAAAGTTCGTATTAATATTTGTTTAAATTATATTTTTGTATATATTTTATTTATATTGAATATATTACAATTAATTATATACGTGTACGTAACGGAATTGGTTGCCCTACAATTGAAGTAGAACAGTTGAGCTGTTGCATGTCATCATTCAACTTGCTGAACACGGATCTTGTTCCACAATAAGACACATTCTGAAGTCTATAGGGTGAGAGTACAACTTTAGGTAATTAAGATTTTTATTGAAATATAATATGCCTAAATATAACTTTTTAGCCACTGAACTTATTCACTTATATTTTTTAAATTATTTTATAAAGAGCCTCAAATCGTTGAATGAGCTTGGTGCTGAGCTCAAAAAGAGATGCTATCATTTTTGCAGAAGTACTTTATACACTCGGAGCAAAACGGAGCAAGTTGTTTGAAGGAAAGAGACATGTCCAATCAAGTTGATACAAGCCAAAAACAATCTTTATTTAAGTCACGTAAATGATCAGTTTTGTACAACAACTATAAGGAATGTAGAAGAAGTTTGCTCTTTTTTAGGCTCTTAGGATGTGTGTTTTATAAGTTGGAATCACCGCTGCTAACAAACAAGCTACTATATTAGTACATATTAAGTTTCTCTTCCTGATATGTTTGGATCATCGTCACAAAGCACAAGCTTATCCAATCTCTCTACGCAAGCATTGAAATCAAGCTAGATGGGCTTAAAAAATTAAATGCGGTTTCCTAATTTGGTCCCATTTATATTGCTGTTTAAACTGTGAAAAAACTAACTACATCTTATTTCATAAAACAGGTCAATCAATGTCTCTACCGTTAAAAATTCCAGAATTGCTCATTAACAGCATAACAATAAAACGGTAAAAATATGCAAAGTTTCTTGATGTTTAAATTGATCAAAATTTATCAATGAGAAATCATATTGGACACATTGAATCAAAAATATCATCTATAATAGGTATTTTATATAGATGTCGCCCGTTTCTTGATTTCTGTTCAAGAAAAAAACTTTACTTTAGTCTAATTCATAGTCATCTCACATATGCTAATATAGTGTGGGCTAATACACACAAAACAAAATTAATAAAACTACAAGGCTTGCAAAACCATGCTTGTTAAGCAATTCATTATCTAA